TTCCATTCATAAAAGAAGCCAGTGACAAAATTGTTCATTTTAGATAAGTGTGAAATACAAACTCAATAAAAGTTTAATGATACGGCAAATTTGACAGCTTTTATAATGAACAGACAAATAACTTTAACGAATCAAGGTTGCGAGCCCCAAATAGGGGAGAGTGAGGTATAAATGAGCCAAGGCGCAAGTTTAGCCACCCCATGTTTCTCAGCTCCTACCGGTCCTATGGCGCTGATTGACTTGAGCTTCCATATGCCGTTCGCTTACGATGCTGCAGTCTTTCACGTGAGACGGCAACGTTCTCACGCTCAGCACCCGGTAACATGTGGTATCGCCCCTGATAACTAAGACATGTTTGGCTTTAAAATGAGATTGTTGTTATCTGCGGTGCATGGTTATTTTCCTTAGCGGGTGTCATTAATCGAAAATGGCCACGGGTGGGGCAAGATGAGCCATTTTCACCTGGGGGAAGATGAGCCGGATAAGCCATTGATGTCTCCGCTGTCGAAAACCAAACTGAGCTGCGCTTGTTTCTGCTGAATAAAAATGGTAGGAAATTGTTTTTCTTTGTTGATTACACAAGTTGTAAGTGATTTGCAGATTATCTGAAGGATAAAATGATTTCTTCCGTGATAGAAAACTTGACGAGTTATTGGAAGGCTTAAAACAGTTACTTTTTGATGGAGGAAAAAAACTTTGCCATAAGTATGTATGCCATGGAGTAAATAAAAGAGCCCACTCTTCGCCGCGCCCGGGAAAAGAAGAGATTCGCTTTTTCCATCCATGCTCAACTTTCCCCACGACGTGTCTCAACTTACCCCGCCCATGGGGTAAGATGGGCAACGTGCAAGATGATTTTTGACGTAGCCTTTCAGTACAAAAATAAGCGGTATGAAACATTTCTGGCCACCATTACATGCGCAATGACCACTCTGTCCGTCCAACCCGTAAACGCAGAAAAATGATCAGTAAGGTAGCCTGTAGCTTACGAAAAACAAAAGCGGCTCAACTTACCTCATTCATCCCTACGTTACACAATTGAGGGCATTTTTTAGACCATCACAGTATTTGTCAACAATTGTTGTTTGGGGGGCTGGGGAGGGTGGTTACTGGCTCATACACTGTCCCCCCCCCCAAATAAAAGAAAACGAAACCGATCATCCGCGAAAAGAACTATTGAGCTCGAACCAAGGTGACGAATCGATTTATAGGTATGCAGGATGACTAACGATGCCACTTTTTGACTTCTTGTGTCAAATAAATTCCATCATCTGGATAGCACGTCAACATTCTATTTGACATTTTACAACAAACGTATACTATTTGGCGCGACTAGCCTCATAAATGTTCTGAAACTAAAACCGTTTCTTGGCAATTAACTTGGACCACGTCATCCCAGCTTATGCACGACAAAAATAAAATAATGCTTCAGGATCCTGGCCTGAATTCGAATGCTTAAAGTTTACTCAAAACGGGTGTGGCTGAGGCACTCTTCGCTACATCTCGTGACGGCCACCATTGTGTCGCATTTTTCGGTAAGCTATAAGTTAATAAGGAAAGGATTGGTGAGTGGGTTGAAAAAAGCCCCCCCTCCACCCCCCCACCCCCTCCTTCTTCTGGAAACATAAGTAATCGAAAGATCTGGCGATGGTTTATCCAGCTCCTCTGCCGCCGCGCTGCGAGGCCTCGATTCGTTCGGTATGTGGCTTCCTGAGCGGTCCTCCCCGGAGGCAAGGTGAAAGGTCATGGCCTGTATCAGAAATTTATACGTTGCTGAATATGTTTTATAGTTCTTCCAAGGCCTTGGACACCGTTTTATTATATCGGACAAACATTGCACTTTCTTGTCAATCAATACATTTAAAGAAAACTTGACCATAATCTTATACTGCGGCAATTGTAGTTCTGCTTACGGTTGCCTCTTTATGATACGGGCCACCACCACCTCCACTGCGCTGGAGCTCAGGCGTTCTACCCCTCCCCGCTACGGACCGGCCCTCGGGCTAGGTGTGTTAGTACTGAGCGCAAACCTGTAGTAGTCACGTGACTTTCATTCACGTAGCGGGAACGGAAGCTATAGGCGATACCAAGGACGGGCTCTGGGGAGGCAACCGGCGCGGAGAAATAGCACAATTGTAGTTTTGGAAGAATATCTGTTGCGGTAAGAGGAATTATACAAAACATACGTGCTAGGAGCAAACATGTGTTATTCCTCCATACTTTGCGCTACATTTCCTTTCTCCAATGGCCAGCACTTAGCAAATAATAGCGCAATTCTAAATTGGTAATATATGTGTACAGTAGCAACTGCGGGTCCCTGTACCTCTAGGATTTTTCCTAAAGATGACATGAGGTCAGGTCGGTCACGTGACCTCAACACTATAAGTCAATTGAGAAAAATGAAAACTGCTATTCTGGCGCCGGGAGCAATCTCAAACTATTGCAAGCACACGGATCGTGATTTCATGCACTCCTTGCAAAAGTTAGATGCTTCAATTTTGCATTGTTGACGTTGCGTGATTATGACGTCACTAGGGTCATACGAGCTTTTCGTCAATAACTCCCGATCAAACTGAGCTAGCGAGTTAGTCAAGCCACCAATGGACTGAGGAAGACCTGCCGAATCGAATAAAATGCAACAGGACCTCTTTTGACCAATTTCACGACCTAGGGGTCTCTGACCTGACCTTGACCCGAAGTCAACACCTCAAGTTGACCTCATCCGAACAAAAAGTATACCATTCGACACGCCTGAGCAAGGCGAGCACGTTTATGCTAAAATCGCGCTCTGCAACTGTTTTTTTTTAAAGTTATTGATCAAAAACCGAACCCGTGTCTTGGGTCACATGACCCGACCTCAGAGGTCACCAGTTGACCTGAGACCTTAAAATCGGGTACTAGCTGCTGTGTCTCCTAACGGCACACACGCTCGTTTTTTTCCGCGACGCTCTAAATCCAACGGGGGCGAAAAACGACGAGGGGGTCGTACCAGCCCTCCCCCCGGCCGGCGCGTATGTAGAAAACCAACAGGTCCTGCGGGGTTAGCTCTCGCCCTTATTGGTGTTTTGCCAGCTGCAAACGCGCGGGGCGGGGCTAGGTTATTGGTTGACCTTCCAGGTCAGGCCAGTGACTCAAAAGTCGGGAAAATCGGGACCTATGACCTGTTAAAACTTTGGAGAGTTAGTTGATACGAGGTTTTTCGGGGCGCTGATCACGAATTTCATGTTAGCTTTGATCACCGATGATGTCTTGATGCTTTTAGGCCAGGTCGGGTCAGGTCAGGTCAGGTCAACCAGTAGGCGTCTTGCTAGCTGTCCATAATAGGTGTCAACTAACACTGACAGCTTCGTGACATTGTAGGAAGGCGCCAAAATTACTTCGTAAATGTTCAAATGGGTGCTAAATTCGAAATCAGCTCGAAAAACTAGCCTAAAAATATATGAGCCCAGAAGAAGTGAACTAAGGTCATCAAAGGTCAATGACCTTGACCTGACATTCACGTGACCTTGACACCCACCATAATGCATGGGACCACCATCATTTCACATGTTTGAACGTTTACGATCACAAAAAGACTGGAAACGAGCGGATAATGGCCGTTTTTACGAAGGGCTTCCTGGCGAATGTCCATCTAATTTGAACAAATCTGCACCAAATGTGCACCTAATCTGCACAAAATGTGTACTATAGATGGCCGTCGTGAAATACTCCTGAGCTGAATGTTCAAATTTTGTTCCCCTTTTCTTTTTAAATGAGCTAGATTGAACAAGATTGTCATTGGACAAGATTGTTGACGGCCCTCCTGTGAAACGAGACTCGATGAATTCTTAACCCGGCGGCCGCTGGGCCTCCGCGCCACCCGCCGGCCGCTGGGGGGGGGGGGGGCATATAGTTGCCCCCCCCCCCTTTACTTCCGCGGCGATATCGTCGCAACGCGAAGAGATAGAGAAGCGAAACTTTGCACACATCTTCCTGAATACCTAGCCAAGGTTGTGTCCAAATTTGGTGTCGATCCCATTTGAAATGACGTCACAGTGACGTCATAAGTCAAATTATAGATTTGCGACTCTCAGTTCCCTCACGATACATCAGGTATATGGGACCGAATATAAAGGGCCGATTATTGGTTAGGAACTAGATGGAAATGTACTTAGATGTTTTAGGATGACAGCAGGTGCTGTCTAGTTCATTTACAGTTGAGTTTCATGCTCAGCGTCATCAGAAACGGTCCATATCGGAAAACGACAAAACTTTATGACGTCACTGTGACGTCATCTTAGATGCTACAACCACCAAACTTTCTTCAAACATTGCCTAGGTATTCATTTGAAGCTATGCCAAGTTTCACGTTCGTAGCTCATCAGGTTTCGGAGATATTCCACAAAACGTAAAGGGGGGGCAACTTTATGCCCCCCCCCCCAGCGGCTCGTGGGTTAAACTCCCTAGTTATTTTGTAACAACCCTAGGTTCGTTGCATACTAACTAGGGAGGTTGCAACGACCCTAGTTTCGTTACAACGTCCCGGAATGAGCAGTTATTTTGTAACGTCCCTAGGGTCGTTGCAAACAAACTGATCGTTCAGGGAGGTTACAACCACCCTAGGGTTGTTGCAAACTAACTGAAATCGCATACTCCCTGTAACATTTCGATAACAGCGAGGTCGGCTCGGAGAGTGAAACTGTTCCCAGCCCCTCCCTCCGGCACGTGACAGGGCTGAACGGGGTTGACTCAGTGTAACTGACCGGGTCAAGGTCACCGGTGTCTTGGTCAAGGTCAGCCGGCACCCGTGAGTGTCACAGCGGAATAACTGGTTCCGAGTCATGCTGTTCGTATTGCATGGCCTTGTTCTTAGCGGAGATTCGAGCCAGTTTGATACATAGTTTGAGCACAAGGTTACGGCTGCTTGTTTTCCATTCTTGTGGAATGTGAAGACGCGTGTTGTGTTTGCTAATTGGATGACCCAGGCGTGCCTGACACATTGTGTTTGTTCCATCTTTCAGATAGGGGATTTAGAAGATCATTATCTATTAGAATGTCATGGAATTCATAAACGTTCAACAGAGCACTCACATCACCATGTTACAAAACTCAGGAGCTCAGAACACGTGAGTATGATGGCGGAAGGTCCAAATGACAGTCTTAGGTACATACATATTGTCCCGGAATCAAAGATTAATGAACAATGCTTTTCTCACATCAAGTACGAATGTTTACTTTTATTTACAAAAGCGTTATTGCCATAATTAACGCACTTCATAGATTCGAAGGCAGCTAAGCGGCACTTAATTGACAGCTACCCAGACCCTAACGCTCTATCCGTTTTTTTTTACGCTCTGTCCCTCTTTGTAGATTATCTGGGCCGACCAGCAATATTACAAGAAGCGAAAGAAGCGCGATGGCGCCGGCTTTCTGCCCAGCAATTTGTTCCAGAACGGTTTTCCGTTTTCGTTCGGGCCCGGGTTCGGCTCGGAGTTTAACGGCGGCGACGGCAGTCCGCCTCGGCCGCGGACCCAGTCCTACTGGAAGGACCCGCTCTTCAAGGAGCAGTGGTACCTGGTGAGTTCCGCGGCACGCGAGTCTGTTACAAACCTAGCGCTTTACATTGTTGTAGTTATGTCATTTTATGTAGTAGGTAATGTCATGTTGGTACCACACAACATGCAAATGTTCATTACTATGCAATTTTATTTTTATTTTAACTCTGTGTTTTATTAAGAACTCATTTCAGTCGTGATATGTTGATTTTCTAAGAGTTACAATGACATTGGAGATGGTCCAGAATCTGCTTACCTATCTGGGCAGTATCACAAGCTCCCAGAAAAAAATGCACCTACCTATAACCTAAATATTTGCAAAGTAATTGATATAAGGGTTCAATGCACACATCAGTCATATTATCCTTTAGCGGTAAGAAAAGGATTGGTAAAAATACGTCTCTTTTATAGGTCAATTTGTTTACAAAGAGCCGTTTTTATTATTCATCTCGTGAGTGCAGTTGTCCAGTCGTGTGTGTACCTACTCTGTTTTCTCTCACTCACTGCGGTTTTGTGGAAATTCTTATCAATCAGAGCACATCCTTGTCTTGTCTGCCTTCACAAACATCGTCGCTTTCGGCTTGGAGATCATAAACTCGCATATATCTCTGCGATCATGCTACCGTTATCCCGTTTGCTGTTTAGTATATGTACCATCTTTGCGCTCTTCAACATGTATCAATTCTCGCCATAATATTCATCTCGCTTGCTACGCAAACTTTACAAGAATGCTACGAACAAGAGCATACAGCATATAACATAACGCACCCCACTTTCACAATCTGCTTATCGGGAGTGCCTTCCCGTCGCCATAGCCTGGACCCGCCCATGCTCACGCAGGCTTGCAGCGCGGCGCCGGCCGCGGCAGACCTTGCGAAAAGTCACGACCCGCTGGCCGCGGCGGGGGGGGGGGGGCAGACCCCCGGTCGCCACTCGGGAAGGGAAAGTGACGATCCGAACAGGCGGCGACACTGATCTACAGGGCTGACCTCGACCGTCTGAGGAGGTGAAGGGGGGGGGGCTGAACGGGGGGGGATGGATAGTGACTGAGAGACACCGTGAATGGCAGCATTGAGTTAGGATACTTTTAATGTTTTCAGAGCCATGTTGTTCATCAGAGCCAGGCGTTTTCGCTCCTAGCCAACTATACTACTAATCACTATTGACTTACATCATACAGTCAAATTTGTCAGTCCGACCCACGACTCCGTGTAGAAATGAACTTTAGTCATGCACAGTGAGTGTAAAAGGTCACTTAATCCCAAGAGTCTCATGCCACTTGTCCGAAATTGATAAATCGGATGCCATTTCGTCTGCAGACGCCTCCAGCGGAGCCAGTGTCCGATACTATCTAGTGTCTAGTTTATATTAGCGTCTGGTCTATAAACACGAGCGGACATAGCATCCCCGCACGTCTATGATGTTCCTCTATGTCAATACAGGATCTTTGTTAATATTAGCGGTCCTCAGTTAGGCTAGCCGCAGATACGTCTAACCTCCTGGCATTGTTTATATGATCTGCTATTACAAAGTCAGTAGCACACCCTACGATGCTCCGCAACAAATACTCGTCAAATTTATAGCCAACCTGTGGTCGTCATTTCGATCTATAATTTTTGGCGTGGCACCATGCTAAAGAAGGCTTTGCAGGTACCTTTATTATGTTACAGGCCACACGAAAAAATAATCTTTCCTACTACGGTTATTCTATAAAGCTGTAGGAGATCGATTGATGCTTGAACCTCAAACCTAAATAAAGACTAATAATTGTGTAATATACTGTGAGGATTAAGTTGAAAATCATTGTACTGGTTGTTTCTTACGCTCGCCAGCCCGGCGGCTATTTCACCACACGGCAGCGTTGCTGCACTTCTCTGTTTCACAGCTTGATCTTGTAATGACTGCGTGAATTCGCCGATCGTATCCAGCAGTCATTGCACCTCATCTCTGTTCTCTGTTTAGCCATGCGCGCTAAAGACCGAGTGGAGCTTGCGCAATCCTAAAGCCATTATCCGGTCAATCTGTGCCAATTGGTGTTTCTGGAGACTGAGTGACCGCGCCAGCTGCCACTGGCTCGCAGCTGTGAGCCCCACGGCACCCAGCTGGGCTCAGTATCCGTGACAGGCTCATATGATTTGTGTTGCAGAACGGAGGCGCCAAGGACGGCAACGACATGAACGTGCTGCCCGCCTGGCAGCAGGGCTACTCGGGCAAGGGCGTGGTAGTGTCCATCCTCGACGACGGGATCCAGCCCAACCACCCGGACCTGATCGACAACTACGTGAGTTACACGGCTGCTCAGCGACAGGCTCTTCGCAACTCCGCCGTCCGCGACCACAGACAGTTGGGCCAAACCGCCTGAATTGACCTCAACTACGTCCATCCGTGCAGCTGTGGGTGGCACTTCCCGTTATGTTCCCCGATCTCGTTGAACTTCCGGTGGTTTATTCGCCAAATACGCTCAGACGGCCGACCCATTCCGTCCCTTTGTCGACCCAATCCGTCCCTTTGCCGACCCAATCCGTCCCTTGCCGACTGCACGCACTCTGAGGCCGTGCAGAACTGTCCGCTGTCCGTCTCCGCCCGCCTCTCGGTGCAGCGCCACTGGTCAGCCCGGCGCGGGCCCTGACGGCCACTCCGGTGGCGGGGTGCGCCGGGTTTTCCATCGGCCGTGTCAGAGGCGGCCGGCGGCTCCCCAGACGGCCGGCCGACACTACCCGGACCTGCGGCCGTCCGAAACCGAGGACACCCGGCTCCCAGCGGGCACCGCCGAACGGCCCCGGAGCGCCGGACACGCCCCCGGAGCGCCAGACAGCGCCAAAGCGCCTGCACGCTACCCCGGACGTGGCCGCAGCATCTTCGTTAGTCCGAGAGACTCAGCCCGTCAGATAAATAACAGACCGCCAGTTTTATAATGCTAGAGCTAGGATTAGAACCATGTTCTACATGTGCGCTGGGCAGGATGACAAGCGGCGCATTTGGCGTGAGAACCGATTTCTTACTTTTAACTTTTCTCCCTCGGCATGGTGGTAGTTTTTTCATTTTCATTAGGCCGCGTTGTCTTTATTCGCCGTCTATCCACACAATGTTACCAAATTGTAATGTAATCACAGATCGCTTATAACGTTTAACATAAAAAATGTTCATTTCGGCACCCATCACACAAATCACGCCCACCCGCGTCGAATGCGATGATTAATCTACATACATATACCGAATGAACGGTACACGAATAATACACACCAACGTATATTGATGTCGCAATTCGCACTATTGCCACACACGCTGTCAACCGGTCGTGGAAATTTTTACAGACAAGCCAAACAACGAGAAATCACCATTGAAGCGGACCGCATGCCGATCATGGATACCATTGCTTGAATACTTGACCTCCGACATCACATGTTGCAATAGAATTGATGGTTATCCGGAATTCTAATTTCAAACAGGCCACCTCAAACTATAGACAATCGTAAGTTGTGTTGGTGTCGCTTTCAAAACCTTATGCAGATCATATCGCCTTGCCCGACTCTCTCTCTCTCTCTCTCTCTCTCTCTCTCTCTCTCTCTCTCTCTCTCTCTCTCTCTCTCTCTCTCTCTCTCTCTCTCTCTCTCTCTCTCTCTCTCTCTCTCTCTCTCTCTCTCTCTCTCTCTCTCTCTCTCTCTCTCTCTCTCCCTCCCCACCAGAGCGCCCCAGTCTGACCTGCACCCGCTCTCCGCAGGACCCGCTGGCGTCGCTCGACATCAACGATAACGACGACGACCCGACGCCGCGCGACGACGGCACCAACCGGCACGGCACGCGCTGCGCCGGCGAGGTGGCCGCCATGGCCGGCAACACGGTGTGCGGCGTCGGCGTGGCGCCCAACGCCAGCATCGGAGGTGGGTGCGCGGGCCTGGGACTCCCCCCCCCCCCCCGCCAGCATCGGAGGTGGGTGCGCGGGCCTGGGACTCCTCCCCCCCCCCGCCCGAGAGCATCGGAGGTGGGTGCGCGGGCCTGGGACTCCTCCCCCCCCCGCCAGCATCGGAGGTGGGTGCGCGGGCCTGGGACTCCTCCCCCCCCCCCCGCCAGCATCGGAGGTGGGTGCGCGGGCCTGGGACTCCTCCCCCCCCGCCAGCATCGGAGGTGGGTGCGCGGGCCTGGGACTCCTCCCCCCCCCGCCAGCATCGAAGGTGGGTGCGCGGGCCTGGGACTCCCCCCCCCCCCCGCCAGCATCGGAGGTGGGTGCGCGGGCCTGGGACTCCCTCCCCCCCCCCCTTCCCAGCCAGTCTGGTCCAGGAGCGGGCCAGAAGGGCTGCTTTGAACGATTGCTCGTTACATATTCCATATTCACTGGCGGTAGAAACTCTTGCACAATTATCGTCTCGACGACCTCGGGAATCCAAAAACTTGTTCCACATTCCCGAATACTGGCTCCAATCGTGATGCCAAATCATGACTTCTCATCAAGACTCGCGAGCGTGCAGTGTTTTTACGCACATTGCTGTTGGGTCAGTGCGGTTCAGTGCGTGCTGGCTTGTCGTACTGTCATTGTGCAAGGGCCACAGTGCGTTATGCTATACAATTCGCCAATCTTTTGTGCCGTATCGACGGGTAAATCAATACAACAACGGCATGGAGTAATGTCTTATAAAGGAGTAAAATGGAACGAAATAAAGCGATAGATCGCCATATTCCTCAAGCCCTCTCGTCTCTAACATGCTCTGTGTGACGCCAGGCGTTCGTATGCTGGACGGGGGTGTGAACGACTACGTCGAGGCGAAGGCGCTGAGTTTCCGGCGGAACCACATCGACGTCTACAGTGCCAGCTGGGGTCCCGAGGACGACGGCAAGACGGTGGACGGGCCCGGCCCGCTGGCCCGGCGCGCCTTCATCGAGGGCGTCCTCAAGGTGGGCACCCAGCGCCGGCCCGGCGTCCCGCTAATAGTGCAGCGACCCAGTGGTATGTGTCAAATGCGGAACCTGGAGGTAAATAGACGCTGCAGACGTGTTTGATTACGTAACTAAGGGATTGTTACCCGCATTGTGTCCGAGCATTTTGACTCTGCACGCACGCCGACCTACTCTGCGAGCAAGCCGGAAATCAAAGACCGCCAAGTGACCTGCTTACGAGCTTAAACGACGTTATATAACCTGAATAATTCAACCCGACCGACTCAAGATATTTGTCAGTGTTACAGTTGCACGTTTATCTTATCTCTCGGCAACGTACGCTCCCAGGCCATTGACCCGGAAGTTATAACGTTTCCGCCGCTGGCCTGACCGGTACCGTTACGGCCTTTGCAGGGAAGAAAAGGCCGGGGCTCCATCTTCGTGTGGGCCTCTGGGAACGGCGGACAGTACGTGGACAACTGCAACTGTGACGGCTACACCAACAGCATCTTCACGCTCTCCATCTCATCGGCCACGCAGGGCGGGTGAGCTGGGGGACAGGGCGAATGGGCTGGAGCGAGGGACGGGGGACGGGCGGGTGAGCTGGCCGCTGGGGGACGGGCGGGTGAGCTGGGGGACAGGGCGAATGAGCTGGAGCGAGGGACGGGGGGCAGGGCGGGTGAGCTGGGGGGCGACGGCCGAGGTAGCTGAGGAGGAATACAGACACATGTAAGGGCCGCGTCCGTGTAGGTACCTGGCCTGAGTCGGTGACGGCAGATATTGTATTGTGCTCGTCGAACAGACGTCGGCTGCTTGGATTATGTCATATGTGTAATTATAAGTAATAGCTGACAAGCCACAAGGATTTGATTGCAATTATATGTTAACGGCTACTCTTCGGCGTGTATTTTATTACAATTCTGCATCCCACCGTAGCTGTGACTCCAGGCTAATATAACAAACTTCACCCCCTCTCCGATATCCCACGGGAACAAGCCGTGGTACCAAACATAACCTCACCCCCTCCGACATTCCCAGGAACAATCCGTGGTACCGAACACCACCCCTCCGACATCCCACAGGAACAATCCGTGGTACCGAACACCACCCCTCCGATATCCCACAGGAACAAGCCGTGGTACCGAACACCACCCCTCCGACATCCCACAGGAACAAACCGTGGTACCGAACACCACCCCTCCGATATCCCACAGGAACAAGCCGTGGTACCGAACACCACCCCTCCGATATCCCACAGGAACAAGCCGTGGTACCTGGAGGAGTGCGCCTCCACTCTGGCCACCACGTACAGCTCGGGCACGCCGCTTCACGACAAGTCGATGGCCACCTGCGACCAGGACGCCGCCCTCCGGCCCAAGCACATCTGCACCGTGTCACACACAGGTACGGCGCGGTCTCAGAGCGAGTCTCTGTTATAGACGCCGCCCTCCGGCCCAAACACATCTGCACCGTGTCACACACAGTTACGGCGCGGTCTCAGCGAGTCTCTGTTATAGACGCCGCCCTCCGGCCCAAACACATCTGCACCGTGTCACACACAGGTACGGCGCGGTCTCAGCGAGTCTCTGTTATAGACGCCGCCCTCCGGCCCAAACACATCTGCACCGTGTCACACACAGGTACGGCGCGGTCTCAGCGAGTCTCTGTTATAGACGCCGCCCTCCGGCCCAAACACATCTGCACCGTGTCACACACAGGTACGGCGCGGTCTCAGCGAGTCTCTGTTATAGACGCCGCCCTCCGGCCCAAACACATCTGCACCGTGTCACACACAGGTAAGGCGCCGTCTCAGCGAGTCTCTGTTATAGACGCCGCCCTCCGGCCCAAACACATCTGCACCGTGTCACACATAGGTACGGCGCCGTCTCAGAGCGAGTCTCTGTTATAGACGCCGCCCTCCGGCCCAAACACATCTGCACCGTGTCACACACAGGTACGGCGCGGTCTCAGAGCGAGTCTCTGTTATAGACGCCGCCCTCCGGCCCAAACACATCTGCACCGTGTCACACACAGGTACGGCGCGGTCTCAGAGCGAGTCTCTGTTATAGACGCCGCCCTCCGGCCCAAACACATCTGCACCGTGTCACACACAGGTACGGCGCCGTCTCAGCGAGTCTCTGTTATAGACGCCGCCCTCCGGCCCAAACACATCTGCACCGTGTCACACACAGGTAAGGCGCCGTCTCAGCGAGTCTCTGTTATAGACGCCGCCCTCCGGCCCAAACACATCTGCACCGTGTCACACACAGGTACGGCGCCGTCTCAGCGAGTCTCTGTTATAGACGCCGCCCTCCGGCCCAAACACATCTGCACCGTGTCACACATAGGTAGGGCGCCGTCTCAGCGAGTCTCTGTTATAGACGCCGCCCTCCGGCCCAAACACATCTGCACCGTGCCACACACAGGTACGGCGCGGTCTCAGCGAGTCTCTGTTATAGACGCCGCCCTCCGGCCCAAACACATCTGCACCGTGTCACACACAGGTACGGCGCGGTCTCAGCGAGTCTCTGTTATAGACGCCGCCCTCCGGCCCAAACACATCTGCACCGTGTCACACACAGGTACGGCGCCGTCTCAGCGAGTCTCTGTTATAGACGCCGCCCTCCGGCCCAAACACATCTGCACCGTGTCACACACAGGTTACGGATCGGTCTCGGGAAGGTACGTACGGAGCAGTGCAGGTGGGCCAGTCAGGAACAGGGCGGGGCAGGTGGCAGGTGCAAACTAATTTAGTCTTCATCTCAGTTTCTACCAGAAGTAACATATATGTAGGTCAAGTAGTCAATCTTTCGAAGTCGGGGGCACAGTAAACACTACCTGGCTTGCGTATAAATCGTAAAATAACTGTTCATATACCTAAGTCGTCACAACTGTGAATGAATATGACTATGAATCATCACATTCTATAGGTAATTGCTATCATCTTCATCAACTCACGAGAACTTGCAATAGGAAGTTATCATGCACTTATCCACCTTATTTGGAATCGCAGCAGTCCACAATGACATTCCTGATAAAGAATGTTCTTAGTGGTGACACTTCCGCCATAAATGTAGGTAAGTATATTCATCTTCTTTAGGGGGAAACAAAAGTTCATGAATCGAGTTGAGAATTGGCGTATTTTCCTCGAGGGAGAAAATGTCTTCGTAACTTAGCACATAAAATGACCTATTTTGCAGTCGCTTTCAATTACCTATTGTGTCTGAAATAGACGCACATATAACTAATAAAATTACAAACACCCTTATATAATCAGTACCGGTTCGCACTTAAGCAGGATGCGTATACGCCGGTAACTACGGGTATATGCGACACGGGATAACTCGTAGCTGCGTGAGTGTCATGGGTGATCCGCTCAAGGTCGTGAAAATAACGCAAATGGCTTTCATTCAAGGTTTGTTCGGAATGTTCCGGCTTGTTGTGTGACCGCTAGTCTGACCTCCTTTCCCTCCGCAGGGCCCTTAGCGTTGGTCTGACCCTGACCCCCCAGGGTCACCCCTCCCCTGTCCCTCCGCAGAGACCTCCGCGCCAGCCTGACCCTGACCACCAGTCTGGCCCTTCCCGTGTCCCTCCGCAGGGATCTCGGCATTGGTTTGACCGCCAGTCTGACGCTTCCCTGTCCCTCGCAGGGACCTCGGCGTCGGCCGTCGGCCCGGCCACTGTATCTGACCTCCCCCTCCCCTGACCCGCGCAGGGACCTCGGCGTCGGCGCCGCTGGCGGCCGGCATGTGCGCGCTGGCGCTGGAGGCCAACCCGTCGCTCACCTGGCGCGACATGCAGTATATAGTGCTGATGACGTCACGGCCCGAGCCTCTGTCCAACGAGCTCGGCTGGCTCACCAACGGCGTCGGACGCAAAGGTCGGTGACCGCGCCGGACCGGCCGCGGGCGCGAGATGTCGCCAGAGGTCTCGGAGGGGTGGGCGGTGGTGAATTTTGGGCACGGCGAGCTTAACGCGAGCACTATGTGCGTCAGTGGGACAGATGGTTGTGTAACTCTCCACTGGAAGATTCCGTTGTAGGTACTCCGGATGAATTGGCTTAGATGATAATGTTGTAAGTAGTTTTCGAGTAGCGCAGGTAGATCAAATACGGCTTAGTATAGGATTATGATGGATAAAAAGCATTACAGTGCCCACCAGTCAATTTGTATGATGCGGTAAGCCTGCATTTACGTCAGACTCGGACAAATGGAAGAAGGCAAGTTCACATCGGGCTAACCAATAAATAAATAGATAATGCAATATATAACAAGACGCCACAGCAAATGTGATTGCAATCACTGGCGGATCCAGACCCTCTCTCTCTCTCTCTCTCTCTCTCTCTCTCTCTCTCTCTCTCTGTCTCTGTCTCTGTCTCTGTCTCTGTCTCTGTCTCTGTCTCTGTCTCTGTCTCTGTCTCTGTCTCTGTCTCTGTCTCTGTCTCTGTCTCTCTCTCTCTCTCTCTCTCTCTCTCTCTCTCTCTCTCTCTCTCTCTCTCTCTCTCTCTCTCTCTCTCTCCTCTTGGATCCGCAAGTGATTGCAATGATTGAATGCAGTGAGATAGGGCCCATTATCTTTAAAGAGTTTCATCCCCTGCTGACGCCAGCATGGAGGTTCCGATCGCCTGGGAAGAGTCGTAGGTATAACCTAATCCCTGTCTGATGTCCCTCAGTGAGCCACAAGTTCGGCTATGGCCTCATGGACGCCGGCGCCATGGTGGAGCTCGCCAAGCGCTGGAAGCCAGTGCCCACACAGCACATCTGCATTACACCCATGGACGACACCCCGCGGTGAGACCCAGTGCCACCCTCCGCGTCCACTGACGAATGCCAGGGGCCACATCGGAAGGGCGGGATAACGGAGATGCTTGGTAAACCATGATCACATTTGTCTTGGAATACCGAGGAGGCGATTGCTAACTTAGTTTTGACCATAAGCACATGCCAGCGCAAGCATTTGGGATGTCTATCGCAGGCACACCGGAACTGTAACAGTAACTGTAAAGAAACCCTTCGACGCGCTTCAGCAGTCATGCGTGTAATCCGACTTCAACATCCATCCACGTGAAGTCCCACACGTCTGTCGCTCTGCTGCCTCTAACCCGGTACCGTCGCGTCTCTCGGCAGCATGATTCCGAGCGAGTACGGCGGCCAGCTGCGCGTCTCCATGCCGGTGACGGCCTGCGGCGACTCGCGCCAGGCCGTCAACTACCTGGAGCACGTGCAGTGCAAGGTGACGCTGGACTACGTGCCGCGCGGCAACCTGCGCATCCTGCTCACATCGCCGTCGGGCACGGTGACCACGCTGCTGTTCGAGCGGCCGCGCGACGTCACCGGCAGCAGCTTCGACCGGTGGCCCTTCATGTCGGTCCACTTCTGGGGCGAGCGGCCCGAGGGCGTCTGGAACCTGACCATCATCAACACGCACACGCGCGCGCCAAAGACCAAGGGCGTGCTGAAGGAATGGCAGCTCATCTTTTACGGCACGGAGACGCAGCCCATCCAGCTGCGGCCGCGCCAGGAGCAGGTGGGTTGGTGCTGGTGAACGGTCAGAGGGTTCAGCAGGTGGGTTGGTGCTGGTGAACGGTCAGAGGGTTCAGCAGGCGGATGCTGAACGGCAGGAAAGGCAGGTAGGTGCTAACAGGTCGCTAAAATGCGCCCGAAGGCTGTCTGTTTCTTGGGCGCGGAAGGTTGCTCAATGCTCAGTCAACCGCGTTAACGAGTTTATAATAATGCGTGCATAAGACACAATGAGATTAGTCTCCTAACAGATCCCTTGGTTGCTGGTTTAGTCCCTCTGTGCAGTTCTCTTGGATGTAGTCACTCGTCAGTAGTCACAGTCCGTTATTATAAGTCTCTTTTGGTCAGCTTCCTCAACTTCACGCATTCGCCGTCTGCGGCTGGTTTTCCTCGCCGCGCCGTTCCCGAGAGCTGACGGTCGCCCCGCTGTTCGCAGTTCGGCTCCAGCTCGGTGCTGCGTCCCACCGTGGTCGACGTCCAGGGTCGGGCCGTCGTCGACGGCGGGCTCTGCGATGCCGCCTGCCGCCAGACGTGCCACGACAACCCCTCTGCGGCCGGCTGCCGACGCTGCCGCAAGCAGTACAAAAGGTCAGTCCGCCGGCCCCCCGCCGCTACAATGTTGTGCGCGATGTGTCGATCCGTCGGGCCGGTGTTGGTGTCATGTAACGCTTATGTCTCAGTGACGTTCTCCTCTGTCCGGCCGCAGCTCATGCGTCCCCAGCTGTCCGGTGGGCTCGTACTTTGGCGGCGAGCAGGGCTGCCTGCGCTGTCACGAGTCGTGCGGCTCGTGCACGGGCCCCGAGCCCACCCACTGCACGGGCTGCGCGCCGGCCAACGTGCTGGTCCGTCAGCTGGGGGTGTGCTCCAGCGGCTGTCCCGAGGGCTACTTCAACGGTCAGTGGCATACTGGGCAGCGTGCTCAGAGGTCGACAAATAACACCAAGGACCGCAGCTAATGCTGGATGATCGGAATTGCCGAATCCGGTTTATTCTAAGCCCTCAGGGGATTTTACTGATGCAGTCTGTATCAGGTAAACACTAAGAGACACATGTCATGGAAACTTACTCCCTCCGTTAGTCGTTAGCCCTGGATGCTCGTTCGGTGTACTACCTAGCGTCGGTTGGCGGCAGTCACAGTGCGTGTGTGGGATTTTCAGAGGGCGGTGCCTGTGAGCCGTGTCGGCCCGACTGCGCCTCCTGTGATGCCGGCCGGTGCACGCGCTGCGGGCCGCGGCTGCTGCTGCACGACGGACAGTGCTGGCCCGCCTGTCCGGAGCGCACCTTCCAGCTTAGCCAGAGGTCAGTCAGGTGGCGGGAGCAGTGGGCGCTCCAAGACCAGGAGCCCGGTATAAAACCTTGTCTTAACCCTAGAACGCCTAGGGGGGGGGGGGGGGGGGGGTTGTATCAACCCCCCCCCCCCGAGGTTTTTCTTAGCTACACGCCGAACCGTTTCAGATAGCCTGATCAAATTTTCAGTACCCTTTGGGGCATCCTTTGCGCAACTTTTGGTAATTTTTTTGTCAAGGTCATGTCAGGTCACGGAGTTATGACGTCATAAAGGGAACAACCTCCGGCCAGATTTACGCTAAATTGGAGATTGCTTCACATTGGTATAAATGCCGACTGACCTGACGCACTGATGGATTGTTTTATAGAATCACAACTGGCTGATTTGACATTGGCACAATGTCCGTTGACATTTTGAAGGTCACTAAAGGTCAAGGTAAGGTCATTGACCTCGGTTGACCTGTAATGACTTCTTGCACTTGTATGCCATTTCGGGGTATTTTGATGCCCTGAATTCGACTTTGCTATCCATTTCAGGCATCGTCGGTTGTTTCTTGTAGTTCATTTTGGGTCAGGGTCAGGTCAGTGACGTCACACGCCTGACGTGACCCAATGGACAAATGACCTTGCAGACTTCCGATGCTCCCAACGCATCATTTTTAAAGTTATGACATCGAAATACACACCAAACGATAGAGAATTGATCAAGGATCACGTTAGTGAAGGTTTCAAGTCGATATCTCTTACCGTTTTGCCGCAATCGGCGCGGAAATCTGAAAAAGTTAGATTTTTCCGAAAATTTGACCTTTGACCGGTCATAAGTAGGTCAAATGTTGACCTAGGACCAAAAAATATACCACCAATCGCGAGATCTCGTTGAGAGCAATCCGTTGGTTTTTCCGCTAAGCTCTACGACCTTCCGTTTCGAAACGCCAGGGGGGGTCGTAACAACCCCCCCCCCCCCTGGTCGTTCGTGTTATGAGAAATGGCCTGGTCGTGCGAGGGTTAATTCTGTCTTGTTTTTTTGTCTTTTTGAGCTCTGCGATAATAGCATGTTGAATGTCGCGAGGGCTGTAAGTTGGGTCTTACTTGAGTTAACAGCTGGAAAAGATTACCGTAGGGCGGAGGTACCCTGACCTGTCTCGACCCAGTCGGCCGGCTCTGTGAGCCACTGAGCCACCGTGGCCTGACCCGTCCATTATCCCGCCACTGTCTGTGTGAAGCGTTTGTTCATGTCTCCGTCTGACCGGGTGACCGCGGCAGGTGCGAGCCGTGTGCGGCCGGCTGCGAGAGCTGCCTGGGTCCGGCGGCCTCCGACTGTCTGCGCTGCCAGCCGGGCCTGGCACCCCACCGGGGCCGGTGTGTGGCCGTCTGCTCCGGCGGCCGGCCCTGCGCCACCTGAGCACGATCTCGTCACCGCGCAGGGAGCAGCGCCGGCGCCGACTGCGGCCTCCCCGGCTCACACCGGGGACAGCACGGGCAGCCGCTGGGAGGGAGAGCTGGCGGCCGAGCTGAGGATGGGCGCGGAGGTCTGTCTGACTGGGAGCGGCGCGGCTGATGATCGATGACGGAAGGTGTCGGCGGCAGCGTACGGACCGCGGCTGTGCGACGGCCACCCCCTGAGCTGAACCGACCGGCGGACGGAGCTGATCACGAGGCGCCGTGCTCGCCGCGACTGCCGGCGGGGGTCAGAGTCGCTACCACCGGGAGCCAACGAACGCCGCTGGCCGCAGTCCACCCGGGTCGGACAGTACTGTCAATGTCTGAATCCTGGCGCGGCTGTGCTGAGTGATTCAGTGGCGGCGCTTAGTGACCCGCCGTGCTGCCACCGGCCGCTGTGTGATCCAAGCTTTAGTGCGCGCCCGCGGTGTAGAGGACGCGCGTGGGACAGGGCGGATCCTCCAGCCAGACAGATGTTTGTACAATGGCAGCGGTCGTGACCGACTCCACTCTGCGCATTGTTTACCAGACAGACAGCCGGGCTAGAACGGTCGTAATACATCGCCACACATTTTTATCGTGGTGGCCATTGTAGTGACGTCGACTGTTTTCGTGCATTGTTTCGCTGTTGATCGTTTAAATGTCAATACACGTGAAAGAGGAGAAAGGTTGTGATGATGCGAGCGCAATGCTTTAATTCCGATTCAGATGAGTCACTCGAATTTCCGAAATGCCACAAGACACGCGTTATGCCATGCATATCTACTACCTATCTGCATCTAAACTCATTCGAGTTTGGATCAAAGCCGAGAGTTGGCAATTGTGATCGGCGTGAATCGAAACTAACACTGATATTAGTGCTAAGAAAACCCAATAATGACACACTTCGAATTACACTCCTTGAAGGTTTATTGCATTCTTAGCTTTGAAAACATCAGAGAAGCGAGCACGGACCATTTTTTCTCGGTTTCAAAGGTTCAGTAGCATCTAATTCAAACATCAGTGTAATATATATTTAAAAAAAGCAAAACTCTGAACGGATACTCTGAGCCCCGAAGATTCAAGGTATTGAACGTAATTTACGAAGCATGTCATACATCGCAAAACATACCGTCAAGCTTGAAATATAGCGCACAACCGCTTACCAAGGATAATATCGCTGCCACTCAAACGGGTATATCAAATTTCTTCGACACACGAGCTTATCATAAAAAAACGAAAAGTAACGCCGTCCCTGCAGGTAGGTTATGGAATCTCTAATCTTGAGGTCCAGCCCACGACTTCGAGCAACTGCCGCCGACCGATCCGGGGTCATCCGTGACAGTCCAGGCCCCCCGCGGTCACGCCACACAGGGCAGTCCAGGTCCCCCGGGGTCACGCCGTATGGGGCAGTCCAGATCCCCCGGGGTCACGCCGCACAGGGCAGTCCAGGTCCCCCGGGGTCACGCCGCACAGGGCAGTCCAGGTCCCCCGGGGTCACGCCGCACAGGGCAGTCCAGGTCCCCCGGGGTCACGCCGCACAGGGCAGTCCAGGTCCCCCGGGGTCACGCCGTATGGGGCAGTCCAGGTCCCCCGGGGTCACGCCGCACGGGCCTGCTCATGGGTCCCGGTCCCCGAACACCTGGCTAACGAGCCAGATATGCTCGCAGCTTTTTGAGCAGCTCTGGCTCTTCGACGTCTGGTCCGCAGGCAAATGTTTCCTCCGTATCCCGGTAATCTAGCGTAAGCTTTGTCAGTGTGCGGCAGTTTCGCACCAGACGCACAAGCCCTTCTGCAGTCACCCGTGGCCGATCATAATGGTCTCCCAAACGCAGACTCTTTAGGGCAGGTGCCGAGCCGAGTCGGTCCAGTACACCGTCACAGACAACATGATCTGGTGTGAAGATGTTCAGCTCTTTCAGCGCTGGCAGACCGCTTAGCATTGCCATGCCTCTTTTCGACGGACCACTTCGGACCAGACTGAGCGACTCCAACCCCCGGTGGCTGATCACGAGTGCCATGTCTTCGTCAGATATGTCGGAGAAAACCACCGACAGCTCGCGCAGTGCCGGCAGACCACTACGCGGCAGGAAGTGGCTCAGCGGTACACCGTGTGACAACTCGAGCGACTCCAACTGGGTGCATCGCGCCATCGCTGACAGCAGCTGGTTTGGTGACCGATATCGCCGATATTCCCCAAAACCAAAACCAGGGTCCATACATGATCCTGCGCGGACGTTGAGTTCTCGCAGTCCGGGGAGTGAAGACACCACGGCCTGAACACACCGGTCACCGATACAGAGGCCCATTCGAACCCCGGTGACACGGCTGCAGTTGGTACAAATTCGCTGAATCCACTCCGGTATCATTGGTACGTCCATGTAGTCGAGATCCAGTTCTTCCATTGCCGTCCAGTGGCCCGAGGCTACAGCCACTGTCTCCATGAGCGATGCCCGGGCGCGCGTATGTGATGATACACTGACACGCAGTTCTCGTAGACCGGTCATCCGTGACAGCAATGACGACAGCACGTCACTGTCTATCGCGTCCCAATGCTTAAAGCCATCGATGTAGAGCCTGCGGCATCGACCAAGTTGTAGCTCCACAGCATTACGACAGCGGGTCGACACGCATGCCAGACTTATCGCGGAGAATTCGTCTAGTCGTTTAACCACCATCGTAAGCAACTCAGCTGGGAGACGATCCAGGAGGTTAACCGTCCCCACGGCTACCGTGTTGTCGTCCAGCGACAGCGCCTCCATGGCCTCGGAGACGCCGCTGGCAGCGGCCGCAGCGCCGGGCGGAGCTTGGGCTGCCATTGCTGATCGCCCTGCAGGCAGCAAACAGACACGGGACATTGTCAGATCAACTCGCCAGTCCGCCAGTTCACCAATGCTACACCTTTTGTCAGTTTATTTCGGTACGTACGCGTCCATTTTAGACCTAGCGGATTATTTGTAGACAAACCGCAAAGCTATGTATCAGTATAGCATTGCATGTCGGCCGTTTATAGCGATGATCGGCATTAGAGCATTTAATTTCGGCGCAGCAGCAAAAGACGCCCGGTTTCGGCGTATCCGCATTGCATTTCGGTGATGCCGGTGGTAATTGGAAACGGCCCGCACGACATTTAGAACAGCAGCAACCAAATTCGGCGATATTCATTCAATTTCGGCGGCTATTTGAAAGCAGGCAGAGACTTCTCGCTTACAAAATGAGCTTGTTGGAGCATTGTTATTAAGTCAAACGTTTTTCAAGGTGTTTACTGTTGACACTGTCCCACTGTCTGGACTTGTGCAATGTGCATGCCTCCGGCCCTCCACCCTCTCCTTTATGGCCGAATATTTCATTCGCATTCGTCAGCGATGGGCATTATTTCATGTTCGTGCTTTATGTGGGTTAAACAAAACATTACAATGTACATACCTATTAATTTCTACCAAGGAAGTACTTACATAAGTGCATATGCACCTGCCTAAAACGAAGGCGGCGGAGAACAAAACCAGGGTACGCGACTACTGAACTTTGACCCCGCCCGTGCGCCAGAGACACCCGGTGTCGTCGCGCGGTTGTTGAAAGGATGCGTCAAGCGCCGGATGGACGGTCAGATGCTGTTTGATTGTGTGGAAGGGGGGGGGGAGATACACCTGCCGCAACTACGAGTCTTGCCATGGGACGGGTTAGAATGTTGGCGCTAAGCCTCTGGTGGTGTTCATGGCGGTAGGGCGGGGTGAGGGGACGCGTGGTGATACGATACGGAATGCTGAATTTATGTTCGTGTCCTTTTGCACACAGTAGGTAAGGGATGTTTGATGTTTCACGCTGGCAATTGAAGGAGATGATAACAGGAAGTGCAACGATAACCGATTGGTAGGACTCATTCTGGCATGGTGGAGATAATTGTGTTATGTGTGATTGACGAGGTGATGGGTTGCTTTCAAGGTGAAGTAAAATAACAGGTCTTTTGGTAAAATGGGCTCATGTGTTGGACAAAAACTTGGCACACAGTGACAACAGCACAGACGTGCTTCAATGAATGAGAATCGGGGTTTGCCTCGAGTTCAACAACGATTGGCGTTTGCCTTGTCGATCGTCGTCCGCCATGTGCGGACAGGAGCGGGTACTGTAATAAAAAAGAGACCAGCCCACAGATGTTATTTGTTTAGGATAAATAGTACTAACTCAGTAAAGCTTATCAATTTTCACATCAGAATTCGAAACGGGAAACAGCGAAACGATCTTAGGTAGGTACTGTGACGCTAAACAAGCAATGCCCTGCTTTTCTCCCCCTGAGAATATCTCAAAGCTACAAAGCTGTATGAGGATTCATTTGATGCTAAGGAAGCGTTCCCGAAAATATGAATCATCTGGGTGCCTCCGGTTACCCGCCGAAATTGAATGAACAGTGCCGAATTTGGTTCTTACTGCTGCTGAATAGCGTGCGCTACCTCTAAACCTATTCTGGCGCAGCCGATTCTACTCGCGCTATCGCCGAAAATGAAACGTTTTGCCGCTGTGCCGAAATTGAATGCTTTACCGCCGACTGCCTGACCTGCGCCGAGATATTATGTGATTTTTGTACATAATTTTGCGGTATGTCTACACACATTCCGTTAGTTCTAAAATGGACGATTACGCACCGAATTTAACTGACAAAAGGTGTAGACTCAAGTCGCTATCTTTTATATATTTGTTTCATATAGGCATTAGATTTCCCACCTTGTCTCAGGCAAACAAGGAAACATATCTTATAGCTGTCACAGCTCACTGACTGTCACCAGCGGCCTGCCAGGGGCACCACAAGCCCGCCAGGGGCACCACAGGCCTAGCAGGGGCATCACAAGCCCGCCAGGGACACCACAGGCCTGTCAGGGGCACCTCAGGCTTATCAGGACCCAGGGGCACCACAGTCCTTCCAGGAGCACCTTGGGCCTGTCAGGGACACCACCGGCCTGTCGGGGGCACCACAGTCCTTCCAGGGGCACCTTGGGCCTGTCTGAGGCACCACAGTCCTTCCAAGGGCACCACAAACCAAACCTGTCAGGGACACCTGCGGCCTACTGACCGAAAATAATAATAACATATATAACATGATTCGTGTTATCTATAATAATAATAATAATAATAATAATAATAATAATAATAATAATAATAATAATAAATAATGATAATAATAAATAATACTGAAAATGGGACACCACTAAAATTAAGTGGCCGAAATCCGTTGAGTTTTCTTTTTAATTTTGGGTATAGAGGGGAACCACTTCGATCCATGACCCTCCCCTTGGAGTTTCCTGGATCTGCACCTGCGATAATACATACATACATGCATGCATACATACATACATACATTATTACATTACATACATACAATACATAAAGGTTAATTAGGTGTATTGCTAATTCTCGTGAGGTGATCGTTGATATCTATTTCACTGACGTCTGGGATAAAAGGCATTAGCGGATAAGACTGGGGTATGTTGAACAGGAGCCTTGCCAAATGACACACACATGCCATTGATATTGTATACTTGACATAAGCACGCTACATCCTGCGCTCTGCGATATATAAGCCGGCGCGCTGCAGTGGTGTTATCATTGTCCGGTCGTGATCCGCCGCCGAGAGCCGACACCGAGCAGCTGCAGCGGCCGTCCCCGTCTGACCGAGAGCCCGCTAACGACCCGTCCAAGATGCGTGTCCTCCTCTGCCTGCTGCTGGTGGCCGTGCTAGTCCAACTGGCCGAGCCCGCTCCGAAGCGGAAAGGTTAGTTGATGTGTCCTGGGACACACGGATCTCCAAACATCTATAGTGAATCGTAACACTGAGTTGAAAGGTTTAAGTATGATGTTTCAAGATAATAGCTTCTTAACCGTTCGCACGTTACTGGCCTGCGTGAACATCAAACCATCCGGGATTATTATTATGTCTGGGCGCAAGGGTTTTGATTTGTATTTTTACTAATATAACCACAGGCAGGCGTTTGACGAGCTTGTTTGGGTGCCCCTTGTTCATAGCTCTCCTCGGCGTCAAAAACTTTGTGACTGGCGTGATCAAAGAAACGGCTACATTGGCCAAAGATGTGGTTGACGACATCGTGGGCCTGTTCAAGCCGGGACCGGGTCAAAAGTCACCTCCGGCAGCCAGCGCGCCGCCGCGGCCTCCGGTGGTCCTCCTGCCGCAGGCTCCGGCCGCCTCATCCAGCCCCCGCTCCGCCGCGCCGCCGCTGGCCGCCGCAGTGACAGCGCTGGCCGCGCTGGTACTCCGACTGGGCGCCCAATGGTGACAGCTGCCCCGCAGCAGTGATCCTCTTCTTTTCATCTCTTCATACGCATGGTTAAGTACAGGTAGCCCAGCCCGACATGTTCCTAGCCTGACATGTTCATGTTATCATCGTCGTGTTTTAGGCGGCGTATGTGTTGGGCATTTCGAAACTCATTAACCCATTGAGTCGTGTGCTGTGCTGGGGTGTTTTGGTCACTATTTATTATTGTACATTAGTGTCACTTGTAATTCACTCACCGTGTGCGAGATGTATTTGCATGTCGCCGTTGTTGCCGAGATGTTCACGCCTACTATTCGTTGGTGAATGTGGATTGTTGTCAAACCATTGTGCACTCATCTCCTTAGCAATTGCTGAGAAGTTTGCCTGTAGTGACTGTGCGACTCTTCATGAAAAATATATTATGCAAATTGCACTATGCACATCTATATCGAATGTTTACAGGTGCTGGCATGGTCAGATACAATGTTGTTCGATTACAAACTCAGGAAAAAAAATATGTAAATAATGATCGCCTACAAGTGGCTTCTTGAGAGAAGAAAAACTTTTGTGTATGTAGGTAAAGATAGGTAGTTCCAAGGTATCCTTTATACGCACTACTTTTCTCAATCATGACTACGTTTCCATGACACAAGTGAATCCGATTTTGCAAAATATATTTTCTCGACCATATCATTGAGACACCATTTAATCCTCGCATGTGTGCGGCGTTTGCCAGCGTCTAATGTGTAGGGGAGGGGGTCAGTTGGACCCCCCTGCCGTTCGGCCCCTGAATGAGCTAGAGCTTCGCGAAAAAAAACAGCGTTTTGCCCGTGACGAGAGGAAGCCGATGATACCCAATTTTAAGGTCCTAGGTCATTGGTTGACCTTCCAGGTCAGGTCAATGACTCAAAATTCGGGAAAATCGGGACCTGCCAGAACTTCGTGAAGAGAAGCTGGTATGGTTTTTTTCGGGGTACTGATCACGAATATCATGTTAGTGTTGATCACAGATGATGTCTTCATGCATTTAGGCCAGGTCGGGTCAGGTCAGGTCAGGTCAGGTCAACCGGTAGGCGTCCTATCGGCTATCCATAGTAGGTGCCAACTACCACTGACGGCGTCGTAACATGTTACGCAGGCACTAAAACTACTTCGTAAATATTGAAATGCATGCTAAATTCGAAATCAGCACGAAAAACTGTCCTAAGTAGGTATATGAAAACTCGAAAAAGGGAACAGAGGTCATCAAAGATCAATGACCTGACCTGACCTTCAGGTGACCTCAAAATTCACCGTGATGCATGGGACGAACATCATTTCACATGTTTGGACGTTTACAATCACAAAAAGACTGGAAACGCGCGGATAATGTGAGCTGGCATACGCCCAATCGCGATTCCCGCCGAACATGGTCTCGAGAATCAGGTCACAGGTCAAAGGTCATTTGGGTCAGGGTCATTAAACTTTTAGAGTAGTGACTAGTGAATAATTGATTAACTCGAGGATACTGAACGTTTCGTCGCGATCGGCCGCTTTTTGCGCGGGTTATTCGCGAAAAACAATGGGG